CCACAAACTGTATGCAGGTTTCTTTATGTTGCACTTGTTATTGCTGTTGGTACTCGTTTGTTGTTGCCGAGCTTCGCTCGCACTGTTCACTGCCGAATCGCAAGCGGTAGTTCCACAAGCAGGATTCGCATGATTTCACTGTAATATGCCTCTCCGGCGAACGGTTTATGCCCAAATCCTTTGAGCCCAACTTTTCCACCGTCGATCTCGCCAAATTTCACGTGCCGTTCGTTGGAGGGGTTACGTCAAGTGGAGTCATTTCTTTCTCTTGGTTGCTGATGTGGTCCTGGTTTGTGTCAGTCTTGACCAAAACCGCCTCCACATGTCAGACACCTCTCACCAACTTGAACTTGTGCTGTCCATTGAGCCCTAAACTGCGACACCCATCCAGCGACCGGAGCATTAAATTAATGCACACAGTGTTAGTCGACCGACTTAAGTTAGTGTCTTCGTTATCTTCAGAAATGACTAAACTATAGCTCTTGCTTTATTTGCTACGTTTACCAGCTCACCTTGAGAGAAGAGAAGAGAGGACTCAGCAGCAGCAGCAGTAGCATCTTTTCCGCAGCTGCATGTAAACAACGACATCAAATGAAATCCACATTCCGGAAGTTTGGTGGTGATCCGCAGTTAGGAGGGAGTTACGAAGGGGTCCACTCTGAGCAGATCGGAAGAGCCTTGACAAAGGAAACGAAACACCCAAAGTCGAATGATGAGCAGGGATTTCGTAACGACATCAGACCTCCTAATAATACACACCCGAAGCTTCGTCCTCTAAAAAAATCATAGAATATCACGTCTCGTCACCGTATTTGTTTGTGTGTAATGTCCCTTGGAGTTTGGTTGTGCGGAAATCGAGAAATGTCGGCAAATGATAGAAAACTTCCTCGCACCGGAGTGATGGTATGGAGATGATTGTGGATTATCACCAAACTTTGGAGAAGGTCGACCTTGATAGTATTCAAGCACGAAGTAATTTCTCCAGGTCTCGTGAGGGACTTAGGGCCGTAAATTCACGTCAGTGCAGATTGCTATTATTATTATTTATTATCATTACTGATCACAATCAGCCACAGTGGACAAAGTTTTCCTTGAAAAGACAAGTCAGGACAAGAGATCCGTATTCTCGAACCAATCACCCGTGCATTCAAACGGAGGCCGTAAATAAGTGTTCTCGAATCTCTAGCACGAAAACATGTACAACGCAGTAAAGGGATAACTTTGTTTGGTCTTCAGAATCGGGGTGGGCATAGAGGGTGCTGTCTGTACACATCATGAGCCTCATTCAATGAACCCTCGCCAAGTCCTGTACAAACGCCCGTCTCGATATCGAAGCCCGAGAAAGCCATGCTGGATGGCCACCTTGCGATGCTCGGAATCGACGGCTCAGCCACGCCCTCTGCATGCATCCCCTCTGGCCGTGATTTCGAGCGCCATAGTTGGAATCTTCGAAGATTCTTCACCTACAGTTCATTGCACCTGGTCACAGTTGGGACGACTAGCTGCTGGCGCTACCGCGAAAGTAAGAGCGCTAAGAGCGTGTTTTGGAGAAAGTTCCGACGCTAAACTGGACCTCTGGGATGGATGGCGTTTGTTCCCTAGCGGGGTCAGTCTTATACGGACCGGTGCGGCCGGTCAGATTCGGGAATCATTCGCTGGAGGAAGCCGGCGTCTGTGGATGGAGCGTGGGGAGCCGGTTGCTCGGAGCGACGGAGCCGTTGGGAAAGTTCCGAAAGCCGGAAACGCGAAGGCGGAGAGGCGGCTGGAAACGCAAACGCAAAGGCGAAAGTCGCGGCTGGCGATAGGATCTCGCGGGACGGAGGTGTCCACGAGGCCAGCGGGGTCGAGGTCCGAGAGTAGGCCGCACGTAGCGAAGGGCAGAGCGCTGGACGTCGAGGAAATTGGCGAGGCGGCGAATGATTCGGCGAATGATTCTTGGAGAGAGAACTGGAGACAGGGGTGATGATGATGTGAAGATCCAGGTTCCGGGCGACGGAGCATGCGCTACGAGAGGAGAGGAGAGGGGAGGGGATGGCGCAAAGTCGGGTAGTTATCCAGATGGCAGAGCAATGGTGTGTTCTTTGCGAAGGCTGGTGGGGGGGGTGGTCGAAGGAAGTCCACTACCTCCGTGGTCTTCGGAAGGGGCAATTGCTGTTGATGATGAGCTCGGTTTGAAAGTCGCCCCCGTTTTTCTCTCATTCTAATCATTCGCCTTGTATCATACGACTTGCCATCCAGTCATCTACTCGGGCTGTACCTTGGAAACCGGGGATCTTGACGGATCTGCACAGGAGATGCCCGCACTGCACCTGCTCAGTCCTTCACACCTTGGAATTCCCACTCTACTCCACCATGCGCATGGCCCAGGCCCATTGAAATGGCGCCACTTAGCCCTTGCATGTACCGTTAACGGATGACGCTTTGTTTGATGATGATTATCCCCGCAATGATTCAGGAATGATTCTGCATTACTGATGGAGGATAACCTCTGGGCTCGGTTTGCCTTCCTTCCTTCCTGTTCAGTCTCGGGACGAATTCTTGCTATGACTCCTGCTCCACTCCACTCATGTCACGTCCACATCCTCCACAGTACGCGCTGCTGCTGGAGTCCCGGACTCGCTGACTCTCGACCTTCCCATCCGAATGTCGAGAAATTCGAAGATCCGCTCGCGTTTCGCTTTTCGTCACGCTTTTCCTCCCTCCGGCGGACCGATCACAAATTCGGCCCCGATCCCTTCCTTCGCGTTCGCGAGCTCGAAGTGGTCGTCGGCGATTGTGTCGAGCTGAACGCAGTCATGGCCTTATGTTAAAAAAACACAATGCGAGCTTCGGAAGTCGGTCGATCGAGATTCACGGATGGACTGAAAGGGCAGGAAGGAAGTGATGCCGGAGGGGAGGGGAGGGGTGACATTGCGCATGTCCGGTTGATCAACGAAGCATTTGAAGATTCGCGCGAGGAGGATTCCTCCTCCCTTAATGATCTCGCTTTCGGAGTCTTGGTGAACACAGCTAACGACATTAACTCGCAATGATACAACAACACGTTAAGCCGAATCATAGCATGATTCTTTGAATGATTCTTGGATCCATGCAGATTCCGCACAGGGAGGAGCGCGAGTCGAACCAGATCTACGTCGCTCCACGTCGTATGGGCGAGGCGAACTGCGCTGGAGCGAGCGAGCGACCACAGTCGAGAGAACTGTCAGGCGAGGAGGAGGAATCGCGCAGGTCGAGTTCAGGGTGATACCAGATTCGCGAGCTCGCGGTTGGCATTTGCAACAGAAGATCCTCCACTGAGAGCGATCTCCAGCATGGTTTCGCAGATGATGCCCACTAATAACGAACCGACGACGACAGAGCAGGAGACGCGGAACGAAAAGCGGATGCGAACGAACCGCAGTATCTTCTTTGAATGATTCGCTGGTTATACAGAGGATAAACTCGAGGCTCGCGACTCCGGCCCGGATATACGCATTCTGAGGACGAGGTGACGGACTTACGGAGGCGTTAGAGCTCGAACTCTGACATTCCACGAAAAGCTCACTCGAGGCTCCATCACGTGAATGTGCTCCTCTGGTAACCAGTCATGATTGGCTCAATCATTCTGTCTGGCCATGGAACACTTCCTCTTTTTACCTACTGCCTGGCTGCAGTTCTTGGTGTTGAGTCACTTCATGGTTGCAGCTTCGCTCTGGCTCCCATCTCAGTCAGTCCCTCGCAGTCAGTCACTCTCACTGACGGAATGCCTGAACTCCTCCGTTGCTGCCCTTGCCCGGGCCATTGCATCTGGCCTGCCCCTCCCCTGCCGTCTCAAAATTATTTCTGCTTCCCTCGTGCCACATCTCAGACGACCCAAGGGTACATCGGCATCGGCATCGGCCCCATTTAGTGCGCTTTCGAGACCACCACAACAATAAATCTCGTGGTCAAAGTCCTGTGCACTGGATTCGGTGGATCTTGACGGAACGAAGAAACTGAAGGAAAAGCTTAAAACTCAAATGATACTCTTAAGAGAGATCGCGGACTAGATTGTGTCGAGGCATCGCTAGAAAGTAGCTCCCTTGCCATTCACAAAAACATCATCAACCTTAACACTACTCACTGGTTCACATGCTCCCTTCACTCCTCTTCCGCGATCTGAATATTTGATGTATATTGATATAAATGGATATATATTCATTACATACATCATTTCACCATATTGCACAAGCCAACGCCAAAGCCAAAGGGAGAAGGAGAGGAACATATTTGAACCCATTTGTGAGTCTACCACCTCCGTGATGTCACACATTCCCACGTCAAAAAGCCACATTTAAAAGCGTTTAGATTCACAAAAACATAAGATACGCCATCTCGAAGAACTCTCGAGCATTGCCATTTGATAATGCTGTGGATCCAGAGTGCAGATATTATTTGATTTCATTGAGACTCGAAAGATTTCGACACATACTGTTGGTCTAGAAGGAAAACGTGACCATACACCAGAACGGAAGGCCGAGATTATTCGCAGCTGAAGACGATGGAGTTGTAAAGTACATCCAGAGAACAGGAAGCATTAGCAACATGACCGAGGAGGAAAGGATAAGACATAAGTTACTCGACGTCTCGAACTTCGCAGCTCGCAGCTTTCAGCGTCACGGCGATCGACATAGTTTCGGTTTAGGCCTCCAGCTCCAGGACTCCAGCAGGCAGATTTTTATGTTAGCCGTTATACTGTAGTCCGGTCGCGGTACAGAGGGGAGCGACATTTGGGGGAGCGGGTTACCGCAGTCGAGGGGCTAATCGTACTTAGAGAGGAGGCTAATGGCGCTTACGTGAGGGGAGGGCGGAGGGGGAGGCTAATGATGGAGCTAATGAGGAGCGAAGGATTTGTTTGACCAGATACAGTGCACGGGCCCAGATGCGCAGGGAGGAAGTCCTTGGCAAGGAATATGTGCCGGGGTCCGGACCCTCGGTCGGACCGGAGAGGATATTCGCCAGCGGCCGACTTATGTCTGGAGCGGGGGCTCGGGCTTCTTCAGTGTGCTCACTCTGCAGTTCGATCATTCACTTCCTCTCCGACTCCGGCATCTGCAGATCGAGAGACTCAAGAGCCCGAAACCCACACATTCGCATCCATTCATTGATTCATTGTCTTTGCGGACTTGCTTGCTTGCGCACTCACGCACCCACTCCAGCGACTTCTATTTGTAGACACTCCGAGACGTAAATCTGCCGTGAGAGCTCATTCGACGACATCTTGAGTCGACGGGCGGTCGGAGGTCGAGAATTGTGTCAGCCTTGGCGGTTTGAAATTGACTGATTGAAGGATTGATTGATTGATTGATTGATTGGCGGATCATTTGTTCGCTCGTTTCTTATGCACACACGGCGGCCGAGGAGCCGAGCCGAGACGAATCTGGACAGCGCAGCTAGCTTCGGGATTCAGACGAGGAGAGCCAGGACGCGTGCTGCTGCGTCAGTCTGTGGCCTTGCCGTGTGAGGGGCTTGATCAAATTACATAATCGGAACGAGTTCGGGTTTGGGTTCTTGGGCGTTCGGTCGGTGGAGATGCGATTGTGTGCCTATCGTGGTATCCAATACTTTTTCCTCTTCAACAGAGACGCTGCATTCGTCTCGTTGCCGCTGCGCAGCAGCCACGAGATTGCAGTGCGGATTACATTCGGCGACTTCAATCTTTAGCTATTGAGATTTGCTCGCGGATTCCGCCTCCCCTTGACCGGGGTGCGAGTTCGCAGCGCGGTTACGATAGTCGACAGTACACGAATTGGAAGCAGTGGAGTAGTATAATGCCTACACTCTACTCTCTTCGTCCGAGCTTGGGCTCGGCCTCGAAGACGGGCAAGGCTGCCTTGGCGGAGAATGCCGTCAGGGCGGCGAGATCAGAGCAGAAGGGGCGATTGGGAGATGATAGTAGAACTGTAGTTGTGCAGGCTGGCAAGATTCCTGCGCCCTCGGCCGCAGGCTATGCGCGGCGGGGATTGTTCGAGCTCCGTGCACCGCACGCGATGCAATTCCCTCAGCAGTATCAGCAGAATCAGCAGCAGCAGCAGCAGCAGCCCTCGAACGCGGAGCAGCAGCATCAGCAGCAGGCCGTGTACAGGCTGGGGGGCGAGACGGCGAAGCACGCCCGAGCCCGGGGCAACGGAGTGGACATCCTCAAGCGCATGAGCAGCACCGACTACAGCAGCAGCGGCAGCGCGCACGAGATCAATTCCGTGTGCCTGGCGGAGATGGTGCACGAATTTCTCGAGGACGAGGCCGAGTTCGGGCCGCCGTGCGGCCGCGCGCGCTGCAATTGCGAGAGCGGCAGCTGCGGTGGCTCGTCCCTCAGCCCCGACGACGACGACAACGACGACGCCGCCGCCGCCCCGCTGAGCCTGGCGGGCGAGCAGGCCGACGCGCTGCGCGCGCTCGTTTCTTGCGCCGGCGACCTCGAGGCGCACATTCTGGCTGCGGTCGCCGCGACGGTGCGCGCCGTGAGCGACGAGGTCGAGTTCTTCAGCGGCGAGAAGTCGTCCTATCGATTGGTCATGAGCCGGCTTCGCGCCGCGGGCTACAATGCGGCGATCTGCAAGTCGCGCTGGGAGCACACGGGCGGCGTGCCGGGGGGCGACTACGAGTACATCGACGTGGTGTCGGAATCGTTCGGCGCCAAGCCCGAGCGATTGATCGTGGACCTGGACTTCCGGACGCAATTCGAGATCGCGCGCCCCAGCGCGCACTACAAGGCCATGCTGCAGGTGGTGCCGCAGATCTTCGTGGGCAAGGCCGAGCGCCTGCTGCAGGTGCTGAACGTATTGTGCGAGGCGACGAGGCGCTCGGTCAAGAAGAAGGGCATGCCGCTGCCGCCGTGGCGCAAGCCCGAGTACACCAAGGCCAAGTGGTTCTCGCTGTACAAGAGGACGACCAACGCGTGCTCGAGCTCGAGCTCCAGCTCGAGCTCTAGCAAGGACGGGGGCGACGTCGGGGGTGTGATCATGAGAGGCCCCGGCTGGGATCCCCGGTTCACCACGGAATTGGAGACGAACTTCAACAGGACGGCGGATTTGCGGAAAGTTCTGCGCGACAGCAATTGCGCCAACCACATGCGAGCTGCTGCTGCGCCCGCGCTGACGACGACGGGCCTCCCTTTCAAGAAGCAAGAAGCGACGACGGAGCCCGAGGGAGTCGTGCGAGGCGCGCGCTTGGTGTTGGCTGAGATGCAGCAGCAGCAGCAGCTGTTGATCGGCGGCAAGAGCGATGCTATGGTCGCGACCCGAGCTGGTGCTGGTGCTGCTGTTGTAGCAGCTGCTCCGGCAGAGTGGGAGCCGCCGGCGGTGGACTATTGCGCTCGATCGCGCAGGGCGGCGAGGAAAGGAACCTCGATGCTGGCTGCGATCTTCACAGAGGGAGGGGCGGGGGCGCGGATCCAAGATGCGTTCCGGGAACCTCGCAAGCGAGTTCTCGCGACGGGAGGAGGAGCATTGTTCTGAGCACGGTGTGGACAGCGCGCAATAATTTTGGGTTTCCGTCATTTTTGATGATATTATGAATTGAACGTAATGACTGCCGGTGTTAGATAAACAGCCGCCGTGGACACGCTTGGAAGGAGCCTTGTAAGAAGAAGACGACCCCGCGTTCGCAACATTGTACGATAAAACCACGACCACCATTCAATCTGTATATTGTCCACGGCTGCTGCGTACATATAGAGTATAGACAATTATGCTCTCGGTTTCTTAGAGCGCTATCCCTGTGATCCCCTCCTCCCCCCTCACCCGCCCAAGCTAGCAGCAGATACTGTAAGCCCGGGGTCTACCTTCATGTGCCCTCGGTTTCATGGAAAGAGAGGGCGCAGCAGCCCCGAGCAACCGATCACGCACAGCGCGGCGAAGAAAACAAGTAAGCGGGCGACGACCAGTGAGGGTCTGGCATTGGGCCCCACCAGCATCAGGTTTTGTAGTAATTTACGCGATGACTCCATTTTGTGCTCATATTTTGAGTAAGGGCCCTCATGCACAAGATGCTGATGCTCGTATGACGATACCGAGTTCCGCACCAGCTGATGCCAAGATCCGCATCGTGCCTCTCAAATTTTTATAAAACAAGATTACTAGAAACATTTTCGCACCTCCTCGCAATGCAATGCAATGCATGACTGCCCGTCTGTCTGTCTGGCTGCCTAATGCTCTGCCGTTTCGGAGTTCAGACCAACAGTGTTGCATTCGCCACTTGATTCTGTTGCCCGCCCTGCCTTGGCCTTTTGTGTCTGTCGATCCAGAACGAGCCCTGACAGAAAAACCATGACACGATCCGCTAATTGGTTTCGAGCTCTCCCTACGAGCATATGCCCCGTATGCCTTTCCGCATCTCGGATCATCGCGAACCAGTCCATCATCAGTCTGTGTCGCGAGTGTAAAATGCCCGGGCAATAAATCGTACCCGATTGCAAGTATTGCAAGCGTAGATTAAAGAATGGAGTGGTGACGTAAGACATGCAGTGAAACTCGAGGGTGTGGCTGTTATGCAGCGAAGAGCTGTGCATGATTTGGTGGACTCTACTTACCCACGGTAACACCCACCCTCTTCATTACCCCTGGCCACCCTAGAAAGCGACCAGTGTTCTGGGGCTCGAAGTATTTTACGGATCAGCCGTCAGATGTTCTGCGAAGGCTCCCTGTCTCGCTGCTGTGCGTGCCTCTTCCCCTCGAAGCCGCTCGCTCGCTCACTCACTCACTCAGGAAGTGGATAGAAGTCGAGGGCGAGGAGTGGGGCGTGTTCAGTTTCGCACAAGCCAGCCTACCAGCCAGCCAGCGAGCCAGCCATTGATGGAATGGGCCCATGGACTTTTGCCTCATTCAAGAAGTGCTGGAATCTGAAGAGTCGAGAGCAGTCGGTACTCCTCCCATGGCAGCCATTCATGCATAGTTAAAAGAAAGAGGCTGGAGGGGGGCCCATTTTCAGTTCAGCGAACTCCCTACTGCCGTCGTTCAGAGCAGTCACGATCGTAATTGCATTCTTTCTTCAAATTCCCTACACCAATCACGAACCTGGAATGAATGGGCTAGGTTGGTAGGTGTAGCTACTCTCAGACATTCCACTGATCGATGCATCAAAGCTTATCGCAATTTCCCGATCTGCCCTCCTACCACATCGAAGTGTACAGTCGCTCCCCCTTCTTCTTCGGGCAACTGCAAGTCTCCCCGTGATATATCTATCAGCTCAGGCCTGGGCTTTACTTCAGAACGGACACTGTCAAATGTCCAATCTCTGATCCAATCGCACGGGGAGCTCAAAGGTCCATCACGGCCTCAGTCTCATGAAATACCCGACACGACGATGAAAGGACCGACCAGGCAGTCTGCTGCAACGAGCCATAACATGACAGTTCCGATCACATTCACCTCCCCGTGACCGAGACAGTAATATCACGTCCTCAGCTCCGAATTTCTGCTTGCAAATGGACGGGCCGTCGAATGCATTCAGAGCATCTCGTCCTCGCAGTCGACGCGATGGTCACATCGGCGTCCGTATGGCGCACTGACGCTCGGAAGACATCGATCTTCTCTTTGACTTCATTTCAACGAACCGTCAAGAACGAGGACGAGAACGAGGGGAGCCAGTCAGTGTACCTGCTCTCTCGACAGGCGACGGGTTGGACCCGGTCGCCGGTCGACGACCTCACGCATGAGTATTGTAAGAGCCCGTGTCAGCCGCAGTTGAGATGGAAAGCGCAAGATTCCGTTACCAAGATGCAGAACTCTGAACGTACCGTGCGCTAGCGGACAAATCATGGACCGGGTTGTGGATGAGGCTGTTACCAGCCCCAAGTTCGTACACCGTCCCGGTCGACCGTATCGTCTGTGCGACTGCGACTCGCATGGTGTAGACGGTTGAGAGACCTCCGCTGGCCGGTTTGGTGAACAGGCAATAAATCCACATGCTCGTAGCGTACGCAGAACTGACCGAGTAATTGCGCTCGGTCGGTCCTCTGGACTCTGTCGTGCCCAACGCAGTCGTCGGCCTACGGAGGACTTCGGCACATGTCTTACATTCCCTGCCGTGGTGGACTACGCAAGGGACTGGGTTTCATAGAATGTTCAGAGCAGAGACGTCGTCAGGGCGACTAGCCTAATCATCGGGTCCATATGCGGGTGTGGAAAAAGTCAGATAATTTGTTGTATTGCTACAAATGGTCTATACCAGCACAATCTACTCTTCAGAGTCTACCTTTCCCTAGCAGCACGCCAGGAATTATAGCACAAAGGGTGGCAGCTAAACTTTTAAGATTTCACAGAAAGCTTTGTTTGAAAATGCAGCATATCATCTGGTTCATATTGTACTCAGTTATTATGACTCCCAATGGTTCTTTGGCAGTACTGAAGTCTTTTTTGGTTCTAGTCGGTAGTATGAGAACAAAGCTAGGCTAGTTTCGGTTTTTACGGTCTAAAGAGCATAATCATAACCAGTACAGTAACTCTCTTGGAATTGGAATACATTGGAATTTACTGCGAATTAGATTTGAGTAAATAGTCGACGCATTCAGTTTTATTGCTATGTAGTTTTAACTCTGAAACTATGTTGAACCTTGTCTATTACCTAATTAGAAATTCTAATTAATATTTGTAAAATATGGTTAAATAAAGATTTGAATATAAAGAAAGTATGTTTCCATTTGTAATCATTAATAATATTCTCTTAATATTTATTTTGAGCTGTTATTGTTGGAAAATCTATGAGAGATCTTAAAGTCATCAGACACAAAAATAAACATTAGAACTTAATATCAAGGATTACACCTAAATTCCAATAAAGGTTAGAAGGTTAAAAATCTTGTTCAAGACATGCATCTAATCTTCTATAACATTAATCATGTATTTTCGCATAGGCATTGAGCTTTGAAATATAACATAATCATACTTATATCATCAACCATTCAAAAAATGAATATTTTGATGAATTTTTCCAAATTCACAAAACATGTCATTGATATAAATCAACATTATAATCATAGTAACAAGTCAAATGTAAATTATCTCACGTGACAGAAGATAATTAAAAAAATTATTTCAAACAGTATCAAACAGGAAACACATTTTTACAAATAAATCTTTTGGTCCAGAGCTTTTACACACATCTTTTGGTCCAGAAATTCGTCTATAATAGAGATTAACACTCATTGTCATGTACTATATAAGAATTATGAAAGGAAAAATTTATGTATGTCTTCAAAAATTATATATAAAAAATAGGAATCAAATATCTTAGCAAGTAATCATCACCTTTTTTTCTAAAAATAAAAATTTTCTATTTTTAATTCTATAATTACCAAATAAATTGAATATATTATATAAAGAATAATCATTCAGTTGTTTGTATTCATGGTAGATAAGTGAAGTATATTTAGATTATGGCATAAATAGGTTAATATTTGTTGCATCTTTGTGGTCTTAAAGTTATGGAGGTAATACATCAATCACTTGTTTATACATGAGTTGAAGATATTTTCGACTTTCGTGTCATGGTTTCAGTAGAAAATCACTAGAGTGACTTGAAGCTTGCTATGAGGAAAATTTCATAAAAACAAATTGAAATCTTTGGCAGTATCACCATTTTAAGTCCACGGCTTTCAGGACGTGAAAAGGAAAATTTGAGAGTTAATGTGAGAAGATCCTAGTCATTAATGGAACTCTTGTATTCAATTCACTCTCTGTATCATGAAATGATCAAGAAAGGAGTTTCGAAAGTTGAGCACACAAAAGTAGAATAATGGTGTAAGACCTACATCTGCTAATTTGAAAATCAACTGTATTTACTCTCTTGAAAATCTATGACAATCTTTGTTTATTTAATTCTAAAGATTGATTCTTTCATATGTACAAGAAGAAGAAAAAAGTGTTTTTTATTCCGTGATACAACGACATACAATGTCACACTTAAACTGATATTTTCGGTCGGTGGAGGGCTACAGTAGAAACTTTGAATAACCACAGAATTGATCAAGAAAAACCAATCAAATCATTCGTTCCACTTATTGTACTAATATTTTTCTATATTATTGTTTGCTTCACAATGTGCACTCAAATACTATTTGTTACGAATATACGTCTCCACATATGTTGTAGACATCCACAGGTCCAGCAGAGCAGCAGCGTGCCTTCGCAATGTCGTCGAAGAAGTGGTGGATTTGGAACTTGTATAATGTGATGAATGCATCCTTTTCCGTTTCCACAACTTCTCTAAGACAGGTCACTGCTCCCCGTTGCTCCTTTCTTTTGCCCTGGACGGTTGGAGCATCTTTCCACCATGATGCTCCGGTTGGAGCATCTTTCCACCAGATTTGTTATGCACATATAGATCTTATCGCAACAAATAGTTGTCGCAATAAATACGAAAGTACATAGATCATCATGTGGGCAGTTTAAAAGTATACTGTTCTATTTATTTGCTTTAAGATTTGAAAAAAATATATAGAACAGAAATTTATAATAAATTTACAATAATTTTTGAAATTTTATAAACTAGCTATTCTCTACATTAAATTAGAATTCTACACGTTGACCACTACGTCTCATAATCGTCTGGTGACTGTCAATAGCAATTGTTATTATCATATCGCTGCTGGAATTAAAGCATATACTCGACCGAAGATGCTGTACATAGATAACGAAAGATTGTAGAAGAGGTGCAGAGATGGTCCCCGCGAGTAGAGGAGAGCTGTGACATGTTCATTCAGCTAGCGATGCAGGGCATCGGGGAGCTTTTGATGCTTTTATCGTAGCTTAGAGTCTGCCTTAATCCTGAATCATGACTCGGCCTCTTCTATATGATTCTGCAAATTGAGCTCAGTCTTGGTCACATCGATGTGCCAACATGTGTGGAGATGACAGAGGATGAGGTGTTTTTTCACCAAGGGTCGAAGGGATTTTGCCTCCTGGCATATTCCGTCGGGATCTCTACAATGGCTTGCACTCCTGCCAGAGCATAGTCCTCCTCCTCGTCTTCTGGTTTCCCTTCTGAGTCCAAAATTTGTCTGTCGTTGGGACGAACTGCATCCTTCACTGCAAACATGTCACCGAAGCACGCACTGCTCATGACCGCCGCCACCTGATGAGGAAGGTTTTGGAAGATCT